TAAGGAATCCCGAGTCAATCCAAGCACGCCGCTTCAAATTGCCTATCCTCTTTGTGGCGGCCATATTTACAGAAACATAATTAAACTTCATGTTTAGGCTGATGGCTTTGCCAAAGCCTTAATAAATTTAAAAAAAGGTTTTGGTATTCTTTTATTTTTCGTCTTTTTTGTATTTTGGTCGCGAAAATTAGTGTTAGTGAGAAGATCGATATCGATAATACAGTAATAAGATATACATTCAAATACATCATCAGAAGTTCAGAGACTACTATAATGTTCCTGGAAAAACAATAACATTTTCTTTTAGCAATTGATGTCAAATATTACTTTTTCTATATTAAACATCTTCCTTTCTAATTAAAGAAAAATTCTATACATGCCTCGGCGGGAATAGGGATTGCTTGACTCGTATTAATATAAGGCCTCGCTGGCGCTCGTCCTTGTAACTCATACTCGACCAGCAATCTCTTACTTCCTGCCCTCTGCAATATACTATTCTTATTCTAGTGTTTTTGTAGGTTTTAGTTTAAACTTATTTTACTCACCGCTGGGATAACCTTATTACTGCGGCAACTGTAACCGCCTAAGATTTCTTTGCTCTAATAAACGGTCGATTTTTAGTCGCCAAGGAGTTTCACACATACATTAAGAAATAGAAGTATTGGGGATCTCTTATATTTTTAAAGTCGGTAAATGAAACAATTGGTTAAATTTTGTAAAGTTTATTGCGGGTCGAAAGGCTTTGAGAACATAAAGGCAATTGCATTCCCTCCGACCGTCGGAACTCATTACAACATGATACAAGTAAATTGCGTTAATCATTTCTAATTTTCTACCACAAGTTATTTATTAATACCAAAAACTCATAAAAAGTATCTTTCGAAAAAGTGTAAACCCTTTCAGTGCTATCAGTACCTTCCTTCGCTTACAGACGATGATTATAGCGTTTTTTTTCGTTTTCTATATTTATATATTATTTGACCAAGCATTGTTTTTAGGCCAGCACTGAAAGTGTTGCATAACATTTCTTTGCAATATAAATTACCTACTAATATACTGGTGACATGGAACTAAGTGAAAGCCGGAAGTCGAGTAAATGGAGCTTTGCACGCCTATGGATGGCCAGAACATGCCAAAAAAAGGCGTGTGGTCCCAAACCAGGTGCACGGCAATGTATGTTGCAGAAATGACAGTGCTGCAAAGTACGTACATTGTAGAGAGATAATGACGGCCAGTGTAATATGAGAAAGTCGTAGTTTGAAGACGATATAGTGGCTAGGATAAAAGAGGGTTTCGATGGTTTGCCCATACGTACAGTATAGATGTAAAGCTCCTTGCAAACGATCCAATTTGCTTGTCATGTTTACCCTTCAAACAAAGCCGCAAACGATCAAATCAAAGATCATATACATTTTTGACAAATTTGCCTGTCGTTCAGACTGGTGCAAACTCAGCCTTTAGGCGATAACTGGCGTTTTGTTTCACAAATATGCCAGCATACGTTCAATATTGCTTGTTAATCTAGATTTCCATCAAAATCATAGATTATTTGACCAACAAAATCAAACACGATCGCAGAATACCAAAAAGTTTGCCAAACACGTAAAATTTGACAAATTTTTTGATCGTTTTCATAGAAGATAACGACACTTCATAAACCGATTATGGATGAAATCATGGAAACCAGATAGACATGTCCTTAACTGACTTAACAATATTGCATCAGGGTAGCGGGCTCATAGTATCTGTGTACCTTAATGGTAAACAACCTTGATGGTACCATCAATATGGTATGGTATGGTTTGAATTATAAAAATTATCAATAACATCATTTAAACATAAATCACGGTATCTATACTTATCTAATAAATGCAAATTATTTTACAAAATAATAAAACTCCATTCTCATAAAACTAAGCTACATATCTAGGTACATTACTAGTTAACTATGCAGAGGTACGGTACAATCAGCATTGAAATTAACTGAAATGTCAAATGAAATGTGCTACCGAAGTAGTCAATTATTCAAAATATCTAATACATTCACCCTTAAAATCACTGACATAAAGTTGCCACTTTTGTCAAAAAACTGGGTATTTTGAGCGCTGTAGTTTGATTTCTCAGAACATTCTGAAGTCGCCGGTTCTAATTAGATTATAAGTAGGTACATATAAATAGCACTTTTTATACAATTATTTTCTTTAAAGAAGGCTGCCAATTTTTAACGGTTATCAGTTTTTCAACAGATATTAAATTGATTTCAAAAATATGCCAAAATGCATATTTATGTGAAATACAACAACTAGGTTTCGTGCTGACTTAGTGCTATTTTTTGTGAAAATTTGCGTTATTGAATTATTTAAGAATTTACTGATATAGTAACTTTTTTGTGTTCACCCCTAAAGTTATATGGGAAGGTATGAAATTGTTATATAGGTACGGAATGAACATTTTCCTAGCAATAAATTTATTCGTCCAAATTTATAACGTATTAATAGCTATATACGTTAGTTTATTGTGGGATTCTGTTGAAATGCCTTCTATCTTGTTGCATACACTAAACACACAACAAAAACACAAATGCATCATAATGCGTGATCTACGACAGGAATGCCCGTCATCCTTCCGCCGGAACTGGAAAGCCGTAATGCTCTCATTACTGCTTGGACATAGGTAAGGAAAAACAGTAGGTGCTTCCTTGAACGAACTCTTTTACAAGGAGCTCTATTGCTACGACACTTTCTTTCAGTGAACTTATTTCATAAATGTAAATTAATATGGAACTTGGCGTGTGACATCTGAAACATTGGTGTTCAAATTATTTTATGTAGTTTTCATGTGAGCATGAAGCCACAAAACAACCTTGTGTAATTACGATAATTAGCACACTTTCGGAGAAAACTTCGTTTGCCATCTACTATCATCGACTTACCTGCTATTAATGATGCTTTTAAGGCTGAGATTTAAAAAGTAACTTCGACTATCGTCCTTTGAGGGATCCGCCTTTGCTAGTATTGTCATTAAATATTCGTCAATATTGAAATATTTCGCAACATCTATATGTAACTTTGTCAACATTTACACCTATTAGACATCAAAGCTAAAATTGTATTGTATTTTCTTGATTTTATTTTTTTTATTGCAGCATAAATTAATTTTCACATTAACACTAAAATCTGTGACCTTTTACGTATGCAGGCTTAGGGAGTCACCACATGTATGAACACGGAATCGCATTACGCCGATTAGTAAATGCGTTGTTCATGTAATAAGAGCGAAAAAGACGTTTCGCGTTTCGCTTCCGTTCGCACCACCAATGCAGCGCACGTCTTTTGCGTCCTTATTATGGTGCGTTCCTACAGCGCGTGATGTCAAACGCGCCGATTTGTATTGGCGAGCTCACGAAACGGGCGAATTCGGGCGGCCTCGGGCTGATTCGGATGTGTATCGAGAGCATAAACCGAGCGCGCTCTTGTCACGAGTGCGTTTTTAGGAAACAGAAGAAATATAAAGCTTTTTCAGACCGGCTTGTTCAATTTCGTGTCGATGAGTGTGGTGACTCCCTTACACGATGTGAACCAACAATGTGTCTCATAAATTGCTATAAAGTTAATTATTATGAGTTAATTTGGTCGTTCAATTTTTGTTCAAAGTAATATTTTTAATGTAAAGTACCAATACAGATAACAAACAAACACTTTAAGTTGAGTACATATACGTAAACGAATACCTACTTCCATACGTACATTTTTTTCACTACAATAATAATAAGTAATGCAATACTTCACACAATATTCGGCTCAAAATGGGAGAAATTTAAAATCTACGTGATCTGCTCATAAACATTTTGAGTAGGTACGTCTACGCTAAGGTTACGTATTTCATAACAATTATTATAAGATGATAACAGAAAGAGCCAATACCATAGAATATTCGCCGTACAGGAGAAAGGTGTCCAGCAGTGGGTAGTTTAACAATCACTTGGCGAGCACCCAGCATAAACCTAACCTACTGGTTCACTTTCTAGTCAGCATTTCTATAGAAAGTGCCCGTTCTTTGTAAATAGATAGCTATATACAATACATACACAATAGACATAGGCGTAACTAGACCTTGAACATGGGGTGGTGTTAACTACACGGGTAAAGCATAATATTGCGTTCCCTCGGCCCTTGATGTCAAACGCGCCGATTTGCATGGGCGAGCTTGAGAAATGGGCGAGTCCGAGAGGTCTCGGACCCGAACCGTAACCGCCACGTTAAAAAGCGCGCAGCGCGACTCGCCTTAAAGAAATGCTTTATGAATGTACTTCTCCTTTGTCACGAAAATTTCAGGCACAGCACGAGCCCAGGAACGCCGCCAATATCGGAGCTGAAGTGGTTCGATATTTCGCGAATATGATATTCAGCGACAGAGGCGTCCGAGTCTGAGCCGAAATCGGCTGGGAGCATACATTACTCCTGAAGTAATCAGCAACTACGGTGGCACCATTTTAATAAAAAAAGGAAGAGATCGGGAATCAATAATAATATTTGTCATTTAGACATGCAAACAAGATCTATCTACAGCTAAAACTAAGTTTTTTTTTAAATTGTGAGAAAAAGAAATTATAGATATTCCTTGTCAGCTTTAATTTCAGTTAGTTACTTTTGTTATATATAAATCGGTTAATTGATATGTATAAAACATTGGAAAGATTTTTTTTTTCAAACTTGTGCCTCTGAAGACCCTTCACTTAAAACCTTTCTGACTATAGTCAGAACGGTTTTAGCTACGTCATGTCATTTTGCTGCCTTCGTTAGAGAATGCTCGACGGATCCTGGAGGAGATCATGCCCACCCGGCCCCTACCTAGTTACGCCTAAGCTCATAGAGTCTGTTTAGAAAAATACAAACTTCCAAATATTTAGTATTCATAAGTCTGCATGCTTCTAAATAAACAGAATGTAAGTACCTACAAAGTTTATATACAAAAAAGAAAGTAAGTTTTTTAATTTTATAGGCTTGGTTTATTAATATCATTGATCAACTCTCTTTTTTTTTGTATAAAACTTGCATAAGAATTTACGTTCTCGAAAAAGAAATATCTAAATAACAGGTAAGTTATCTGCGTTTACAAGTAATAATACCTATTATCTGCTAAGATCCAAGTGACTTAGTTGTAAGTCAGTTCCTTTTTCAGAAGATCCAGTTCGCACTATTTGAAAAACCATCTGAAGTTCTTATAGGAAAAATATAAAACTTGTATTTGGAACTTGACAGATAATCTTAATAGTGGTGAATAATTTGTAGGTAAAAACGCAGGCGATAGGCCGCTGTCAGACGAGTGCATCGCGCGGATCAGTTGTGATTCCAGAACCTTAAGCGTTAGATTCCTTCAGGTCGGTGAGGCGGGCCAGCTGCGCGGGCTCGAGCTCATCGGGAATGGAAGCTCGGCCTGCTCGAACCGTTGCTGGAGGGGAATGTGGAGCGGTGGGCGGGCCGGAGGCGATGGATGCTCCCGTTGACTCACCCTCGGATGCTGTGGAACTTGAAGCAGGGTGTGGAGCAGAGTCAGCCGGGCCCTCATCGTCCCCACGAAGGCACACGGCGGTTTGCTCAGAAAGTGAGGATTCTTCGTCATCGTTGTCTTCGGCACGTTCCGGTTCAGGCTCGGTCTCGGGTTCGGGTTCAGGCTGGGGCTCCGGAGGCGGGAACGGTTGTTCAGGCTCCTCGACCATGGGCGTGGCGGCTGTGATGACGATGCCCACGCCGAGAACGGACTCCTCCGGTAGCTCAACTGCCTTCGGCTTGCTTGGTGGTTGCGGTGCCACCGTCTGCAGTTCCTCCTCCTCCTAAACATCATCATTAATTACTATATCGCCGAAAATTATCGGAAACAAAGTAAAGGCGCAAAATCGAAAATTAGAGATGGAAGATGACAGAAATTCATTCAATTTCTTGGTAGAATAGATTTAATTTGACAAGATTTTGTTAAGTAAGCGAAAATAGATGCAAATATATTGTGAATAAGAGGTAAACAGGTTCGTAATTTATTGTTCCACATTCATGGGATCCATTTACAGGTGATTTGCGGAGTGCTGATAATAAAATGCTTTCAGGATTTAATAGGTCCAAATAACTGGTTTAATTCGTAGAAGTCTGTAATTGGCATGCAAAAGTTTATAATCAATTTCAGTTCATGCGATACAAGCCATGCCTAGATGACGGTGACGCTACTCGATAGGTGCTTCGATTAAAAGGTCATATGTGCCAGAAAGGAGAACCACAGGGCACAGGACTGAATTGTCCTACGAAAATGCCTACGTGTGAATGTTTAACATCTTAGTCACCTTTAAAATTGTATTTTAAATTCGTGTGTACTTAAATTTAACACCCGCAAGACAAAAGCAGAGAAGCACAGTAAATGATAATTTAAAATAAGTGTTGTACTACACATCGTATCTAAAAAGCTGCAATATGAAAGCACACCTATATATTAGTACATAGAACAACATATATAGTGTATTAAGTATTTAAAATGATAATCAAACCTCATCTTCTAAATTTTCACCCTCAACCTCATCGACTGAAGCATGGAAAAAAGTCAATTGATTATAATAACAGCAAAACATTTTATAGGGTATATGGAAAATCTTCAGTAAATAAAACAATAGTCTTATTACGGTATGTGCATTTTGTAATGATATGCACCAAGCAATTAATAAAAGAAGATATTAAAAAGTTGTCTTCAATACATGTTTTATTCACTAAGGGCACAAATTAATTGTCAAATGGAGTAACTAACAATCGTAGGCTACCTACATTGACTTACAAATAAATGGACGACGGGTCTAATACAAAAACCACGAAAAAAATGTCCCAAATCAACCTATTTAAACGTAGTGACATGTAAAGGAATATGAAAAAGCTAAAACGTTGAATTCAAATAGTAATGTCATCGTAGTACTGTCTAATTTTGCTTGCTTCGCTGTCAGAAGAAACAAACGAAGACTGAAGCGTGAATGATGCTCTGTATACGATTTTAACGCCCTATAAGTTCGGACACTTTTTAGCGCGGACCCGACGTCCATATAATTGTAAGTCAATGGCTACCTAAGTATATATTTATTTCCCAAGCTAGAGTCTCTGCATAAAAGTCGAACAACTTGTAGAGTCTTTACAATAATAATTCTCTTTTGATGTAAAATAAATTAATGATTTTGGCTTGTTATATACCTGCCTACTATGTACTTGTTATTAATTTCGACATACTTGCATGTCTATTCAATAGCGCTTACATTGTTCAATAGTATTAATTGGCCCGTAGCCATCTTGACGTGACTCACGATACATTTAGCGACGGTTTTCAGCGGTTTATCCGTGTTTCGGAAGCTTGATGCTACATACTCTATAGAGCACACATTCCAGTACCAACGCCATTGATAGTTACTCTCTACCATCAATGAATCTTTGTTTAACGTAAAGGTAGAATTCCAATGTTGGCGACCACGGCGACCGGCGACAGCGCTTGGTGGCCGTATTCCTGGTCGCCCTTCGCTTATCGACCAGTAGCTTACGGATCCAAGCGACAACGACATACCGCCAGTATTCCCGCAGTTTTTAATACGATTGGTTGTATTCTGTATTAATCCACAACCAGAAAAAGAGTTAAATAGCAGTTATTGAAGGAAGACGAAGACGGCGATTAACTCATTTTGCCAATTTCTTCCCATATACATATTTTATAGAATGGGTTATTAGACACTAAATCTACTAAGAGTACGTCGTCAACAACCGGTACGTTACTTGGACGCACAGCGGCACTGCTACAGGAGCAGTGACGTCGCGCTGTACCGCGTTCGCTTGCTAGCGACACCCACAAGTCGCGCAACGCGGTCGCTTGCGTTGGTCAGCGTTCGATATAAATTCTTACTAAACAGTGGGTCACAGTCACGATCATCGGTCGCGGTCGCCAACATCGAAATGCTACCTTGAGGGACGCATTCGCGTGTTATCTGGATGCATTGAGCGAACGTTAAGTGTCTTCACCGCGAAATCTTCGCAGTCGCAAAATCGCCGCTAAACATCCTAACGTATGCGCAGAGGCTCTAAGGTATATTCCTACAACTCACCGACGATGGTGACTTGCGGTGCGATCGGAGGAGGCTTGGTCGGCTCCGACTGAGAGAACTGCAAGTCATACAAGTCCTGCTGGTTCCTACTTAACTCAAGGTTAAAGCTGAAATCAGGCTGACTGTCCATGGAGTCGCTGAGGTCCACAGGCGGCGGCGGGGGAGGAGCAGCCGGTGGTGCTCCACTCTTTTCGTTATTGTTGTCACTCATCACGACTGGCAGCGTCCGGGGCAGAAGCACACTTCAACCTTGTACCTTCACTTTCTGACTGGCACTATTCGGTTTATTATGGCCTGTCCGTTCCTTATTTGACACTAAACGACGCACTTTGACGTTATTGGTCCTACTCGGAACGTTACAGCAACATTTATGTATGTACATTACCGAATAGCGCTCAAAGACAAACGAAATTCGGATAGATACAACAATAGGTCTTAAATCACAATAGTTTGGCTGGCAACGCGATGCGCTCTGTATACAAGGTAAACTTCAGTGGAACACAAATCCCAAATTGAGCAACAAACATGAAAAACAGGAACAGGTGTGGAAGACAATGTCAATCGAAAAGAAATTGTGGCTAGTAGTAGCGCAGAGATAAACATAGAACAAGTTGTATATGCACACACAAATAAATACAATGCAACAAATGTAATAAAATGTACGCGAGGAAGTGGATAGTTCATATCAGAAAGACGACATCTAATTTGTTCTGACAGGTAAAGATATAGTTGTTTATGTGACTGTTACATAATGAAAGGCATTAAAACACGAGTGAGGGTTTTGTGATCTCACGAGCGTTTTAATGCCTAATTATGTACAGTTACATACACTGCTTTATCTACACACATATTATAAGCTCTCTGTGATGTGTTCAAGAACCGCATGTTACGACTGGGGAAATGGCGGCAAATGAAAACTTTTATCAAGGAATGCATACAACCGTAGTTTTTATTTTTAATTCGTAGACAAACTAGAATCGGCTCCAACTATCATATCGTTCGATATCAAGTAACGTGGGAAATTGTCAAAATTGTTTGCTATTGACATCTCATTTCGAATAAAACTTCATCTCGACTGATATTAGAATTGAGGTCGAATCAAATTGTTTTGTTTTTCAGAGATGTTCGAAATTTGAATGTAATAATATGAAGCAATAATAATATTTTCACAGATAAGAAATTTGTTCTAACAAAAAGGTTTACCTTTATGCTGGTCGTAATTTGCGGTTTTTGAACACATTATAGAGAGTTTATGATATGTGTGTAGATAAAAATATTAAGTGAAGAGTTATGAGTAACTTCGAACGTGAAACCTTGTGAAGGTCGAAAAACGACGCAGATGAAAACCTCAATTTTACATTAATCGTGCAAAACATCATGCAAGTACTTATGACAATGTGAAATGGTCCTATATGATCCTAGCATTACCAAAGTCTAGCAAGAGATCGTGCCAATGATATAGGTCAACAAAATACCATGCCATCTGGGAGTAACCACAACAACCCGACGAGCCAGCAAGCTACTATCGCGTGACATCGCACACTTTTGTAATGGCCACTATGTGTACAAATACAAAATGAAATGGGCGACCGCGAATATACTGTATTTGTATGTTACATTATGTACAATTTTAATTACCGTGGTGACTGTTCCTGTGTACCTATTCGTTGTATGCTTTATGTAACTCAAGAATTTCGTTATAATCATTTTCACTTCTCATGCTCTTAAAGTCCAGCATAAATACGCTGGATGTAGGCTGCATGAAATAGGATTCTATGCTCTAGAGCATAAAATAAAATCGTCGTTTAAGACCGAGGCAGTGACGTCTGCGCCAACAGCCACGCACACTAGAACCTTATAAAATAAAGTTTTACTTTTATTTTTTTAATCCGTGTTATATGAACCCACTTTACCCTCGAGATAAGTATATACTCGTCTCGGGTAAAATGATGCGTTTTATGCACTTGTTGTACAATCAAATACCAATGACTTTTTAATCTCATATACCAGGTCAATAATACTCACTGCTGCTTTATCGCTATACACAGTGAGAATAAAATCAAATAAACCTATTAAATCCTTGTGTTTATGAACGATTAAATGTGTTCTCCTCGTAACGCTACAATTATGTTATTAATATATCGTAATTGTTCGAGCTGGATATTTTGTGCTTGCACTATTGCAACACTTGGCCAGTTTACATTAGTGAGTTTATAGTATTATGTTTGTGGTTTCATTCAATCAGTCGCCCATCTCGATGGAAATACAAAAACATACGTAGAGAATGTACAAAGGCGCGAATGAAGCGTCGCTCAAGCAGCCGCTATACTGAACACTTGGTAATGTGAAACAATTGGAATTTACGAGTACAATTGTCCCAGCGACTGTTTGAACGACACTACAGAAGAGACATCAGGCACGGACATAAGTGTAGCGATACACCAAGCAGAATATCCGCGACATGCCTTCAGCGTAACTACGCTCGCAGTACGGCCTATGGTCGGCGTGGCGTGCACGGGTAATTTTAATCGACTATTGAAATAGTAGTTTATGTGACTGTTACATAATGAAAGGCATTAAAATACGAGAGAGGCTTACGAATAAAAACATCTCACGAGTATTTTAATGCTTAATAACGTACAGTTACATACACTGCTTTATCTACACACATATTATAAGCTCTCTGTGATGTGTTCAGGAGCCGCATGTTACGACTGGCGAAATGGCGGCAAATAAAATCTTTTCTCACGCATGTCACACAACCGTAGTTTTTATTTTTAATTCATAGACAAACCAGAATCGGCTCCAACTATCATATCGTTCGATATCAAGTAACGTGGGAAATTGTCAAAATTGTTAGCTATTGATATTTCATTTCGAATAAAACTTCATCTCGACTGATATTAGAATTGAGATCAAATCAAATTGTTTTGTTTTACAGAGATGTTCGAAATTTGAATGTAATAATCTGTGAGCAATAATAACATTTTCACAGGTAAGAAACTTATTCTAACAAATCAGATAACCTTTATGCTGGTCGTAATTTGCTGTTTTTGAACATATTATAGAGTTTATGATATGTGTGTAGATAAACATAATTAATCCAAAAGTAGGCGGCAAACGACTCATCTGCGTGGTGTCGCTACGTGAAACTCTATCATTTCATTACACTAGAGGTTGTTTCGTTTATTGAAAATATAACACTTGCACTAAGTCTTGGCCTTCTGCCTCTTCGATACACGCTTAAAGAGCTGCAATCAAATACACAGACAGTGTGGACAATCGGTAGGGGAACACAGGCCTTAAAGCTGTCTTGTTAAAAAAATCAGCCAAAATCGGTAGAAGATCTGGAGATCTCGAACGAAAGGTATAGTGTTATAGTGGTCCCCTTCCAACTGCCAGTGCAGAAGACAGAGTAGACAATGAGAGCGAGAGACAAAGAAAGAATTAAGACTTACTTTCGTCGTGAGCAGCGCCGGGGGGAGATCCCGGTGGTGAGGTGAAAACAGGAGCGGTTCCGTCAGCACCCGGTGTCCAGTCTTCGCCGCCACTTAATGGCTCGCCATTCTAGCGTCAAACATAAACCAAAAATTTACAACAAACTCGGCGAACAAAATTTACGTATGTTTGAGAGAAGCGCAGAGTGGAGGACATGGGACAAGAAATAACCAAATAAGATTAAGAAAGAGGATAACGTCTATCTCTCTTTTACACTCATTATTCACGAAATGTAATTTAGTCGGTGGTGCCACTGAAGGCTTCCGAGTTTTTTATATGGGTTAAATATAAAGTCAAGTCTTTAAGTGCCAATACCTCGTCACATTCTTCGACGATGAGCGATGGAAAGTTTCCAAGTTGGCCGTTGGCTTCACCGCGCCACCACCCGTCGTCGACGCCATGCGCGTCGCGCGATACTACACGAATTATCTGCGTGTACAAACAATTATCTCTTTTATTATGTACATTGTTTCATATTATGTACATTATGAAATCATTTATTCTGTGTAAGACAGTACACACACATCACATTACTAAAAAAAACATAACAGTTCAACTACAAAATTAGATATAAATTGAAAGCACAGTATGAAGAAACAAAAAGATAATAATAATAATCCAAATATAAAACAGAAGATAAATCAATAATTAATGTAATGAATATTAATTAACAAAACTGGCGGCGTGTGTGCAGTGCCGTTACAGAATCCGACATCCACTAAGCCTATTGTCGTCTCACTGAAGGTGCTACAACGCGGTTTTTCTGTGGATCCGGTATCAGAAATACTCATGACATGGAACATTGCAGATGTAGTACTAAATTCAGTTGTCATAACCAATCCTGATTATACCCTTAAGTTAAATTACACAAAAATACCAAATCAGTATCCATGTAGTTTAAATAGATTAGAAATCGATCACAGAGTTCGAGGATCCCAATACTATTCTACATTACCCTGTAAAATATTAATTTCGCTGTATTAAGCCTACCTGTCCCTCCTCCAAATTTAGCTCATCATCTCCCTCAGCGTCATAGTCATACAGAGCGAAACAGTATCCAAGCGTTGGCAGATCATTCTTGGCTTGCGGTGTAACAGCCTTAGAGTCGTCGGGCTTGGCGACTGGAGCGGAAATGACAGAGATCTGGTCCGGGGACTGCACCACGTCGGCGTCTTCGCCCTCCACTGTGTAGTCCACTGACGAGAAGGATATCTGGGTCACCAGACCAGGTGCTGCTGATGCCTGCTTTTAGAGGAACTTTAGTTAGATGTTAGGTGTATTGCAGAGCATAGGTATAACGCCCGATGGCTACTCCGAATCACGTCTGTCTGTGTATTTATAATAAACTCTTTTAAAAAATCGAAATTATTGAAAAAAGGAACCAGCTAGTGAATTGAGCCGGTGAAAAACAAAATTTGTTAACATCTCTCGATCGCGTAATCCACTTCCAGCCGAATTTTCGAAAAAAACGGTCCAATGCCAACGGCACAAGTCACACAGCCACCGAAACAATGAATATATTGAAAACCAAATTTCACGAAATTCAGCCGTTAAGTGGCCAGCTCGATCATGTGATTTAACACCGCTGGATTATTTTTATGGGATTATGTCAAAGACAGAGTCTATACGGAGCCAATAGAATCGATTGCAGCCTTAAAACTCAAAATTCGTGAAGTGGTTAACGAAATAGACCCCCCATATTGTCAAAAAGTGTTTAAAAACTTTGATGAAAGAATCGATATCGGTAACTGTGGACGTGGTGCACATTTATCAGATATCATTTTTTATTCATAATTGCCAAACCTTACTTTTTTTAATACAATACAAATTTGAATCATTGACATCTATATTTATTGTTTTAAATTTTGATTTACGAAGCAAAGTTCTTGTTGAAAACCCCTATATTATTTTAATAAATACTATTATACTATTTCAGATTTTATCACGATTGATGGAAATCCACAGAAATGTGAAAAACACAAACCATTGTTGTTTTGGTGTCTTTATAAGGGTCATGTATACGCTTCTATAATAAGATTCCGATTGATATTCAAAATTTGCCATTTACGAGTTTTTAAACTATAGTGAAACAAAAACTTCATACAGCTTCTGGATGACAAAAATCCGTGGTATGGACTCGTTTAGCTCTTGCAAATAGTCTCGGTCTAAGATGTTTAAATTAAATATTGTAATGACAAACGTATTCAAATTTATATTTACAAAGAACAACCCCTAAAGTTTCTTGCTCATTCTTCTCAAGGGAATCTGTCTTGAAAATGAGCGAGCCGTAGAGATTAATCAGTACGACGATTTCAAATGTAATTTGCTTACCAATGATATAAAGCTTATTTGACTTTGACTTCTTGGTCTCCAATCTCACCTGCTCCCTGTCGACGTCAAGGTAATTGTGCGGCACGTAACCTTCCTCGCCGCGGTAGTTGCGCGCACGCAGCCAACCGTCACCGTCGCCCTCTCCCACCACCTCCAGCTGCTCGTTCTCGATAATTGACAGCTCATCGGGGTTTTGTGCCTATTGGATCATATAGTCCATCGAAGTAAATACAACGTAAAAAAGATACTTCACACACACACGCGCACACACATACACACACACACACACATGCACACACACACTCACACATACACTCTTTTTTGTTTTTATTCTAATTGAAAGCATAGTGGACCTTGTTGTTTCCCTGTATACAGTAAGGTTGTCCACTAGCGCGCGGAGGAACACTGGCTCTCATATCACAGGTTACCCTACTTTGACAGTCAGGGATCTCATCTTGTATTGTAATAACCTTACTTTATTTGTACGTTGTAAAAAGAAATTATTTTTTTCTTTTTTTAAAAAAAAATTATTATTATTATTATTAAAAATGATATTAAAGTGTTTAAATCTTTCGTTGATGTTAACTTGATAGTATTAAGGCGATTGAATATTCAAGGCAGGTTGAAATGATATATTATAGGAGAGAATGAACCTGGACTGATTTCATGTATGTATGCAAGTTTGGTCCGATTTTTGTGTAAGTTATCCAAAATTCGTATTCATCTAGGGTATGTATAAATATTGTAAGTAGTAAGTGTACTCACCGTATATGAGTACAGAGCTGTACACTTGTATAAAGGAGGCGCAGGTTGGTCCACGGTCTCCTGACCTGCAGGAGCAGCAGGCTCAGCCTCCCCCCAGTTCACTTGAGTGGGGTCATCCCAGCCCACTGTGAGTGATTCTATGCGCTGCCTTTCTTCTTCCAACATCGCTATACAACAGATTTGCATTTTGAAATTCACTTTATTTCATAGTGCAAAAACACTTTATTTCATGGCGATAGTGGCTTGAGTTGAATATTGAATGTGAATTTATAATCAACTTCAAGCAGCCAAGATCACGACTGTATGAAGTTGATAACGACTTCACGCATTAACTGCATGCAGTCAATCTGTTAGCAGCCTTACCGTCTACATCTTCGTCGTGGTCGTCATCATGCTGCGAGCCAGAGGTGGTGCGCTGATGCTGTGCGGCGGAGGCCGCAGTAGCCGCCGAGGGACCCGCTTCGCCGTCCGTGTTGTCGCTGTCGTAGAATGAGTCCGAGCTCGGCTGGTCCTACACAAACACACAAATTTGAAAGTCAGGTTTATAGAGCGCTGAGGATCATTGTGCACCAAGAGAGTCTTGATGATTGATTGAAATCAATGTACACCAGACTTATCGATCGGAATCGCATTAAACCGGTCAGAAGAATCTTTTTGGCCCTTCCCTGTATGAACAGCCGATGAGAAACTTACGTCATTTTCGCTCTTACTGGATGGACATACATTTTTTACTGAGTGTTTGTGTGGTTATTCAAGTCAAATTAGTATGGTAATTAAGGGTTGTTTCGAGTTTAATAGGTAAATACACATTAACATAAATACACACTATCACGCCTCCCTATTGTCGAGAGCAAACTATGGATCTCCATTTGCAACTTTTTTTAATTTATTTTTATAATACCAACTAACAGGATGAACAAGTCATGGCTTGGCGGTAAGCGACATGCCTGTTCATAACAGTTGCAGTTCCACTCGAAACTTTAAGCCCACAAAGATCGGAGGAGCCTGCCACTGCACCCGTCACCTTGAGATATAACTTATCTAATCCCATATGTCTATAATTTGAACAGCACCACTACCCTTCAAAACCGGAACGCAGTAATGCTCACATTACTGCTGCATAAGCATCAATCATTTCACATGTTAGAAAAGTCTAAATACCTTCGACCTAGCCTTGTTTTAAGAACATACTGGTTGAGATAAGAAAATTATCCCACTTTTTCTATCTACTTATCTAAGGTCTTACCTACCTATGTCATGTTCAAAGGAAATAATATCATCCACACTCGATGCGATTCAGGAACAGAAACGTCTAATGGGTTAAATTACTTACAGCAGCCCCTGAGGCGTCAGTCCTCACGCTAAGCAGACTACTGCTCCTGGGCAACGCGTCTTGCACAGCCAGCAGGTCCACCTCCTTCAACCACTCGTCGACGGGCGCGCCACCAATGCGCAAGCACTCCAATCGAGCTTCGTATTTTGCTTTGGATGTTTCTGACCGACGAATGGTGGCACGCAGTTCGTCAAGACGAACTTCCAGCTCTGGGCCGTTCGGATCGTTTGGATCAACCTGCGTAAAAGTTATGACATGGATTAAAAAATAAGTTACGTAACAAATTCCGCACTCCACACGTAGAATTTTATAAAATACACACTTCAAAAATATCTAGGGAATGATCTCTAGACATTTTTGAAGTGTGTATTTTATAGTGCATGAGCACGTTTTATTGAAAACCAGGTTTTTTAAAGACTTTTTCAAATTCAAATTATAAAAGTGACTAAAAAAATCTCATCATCTATCTCAGTCAACTGCTGGACTTAGGCCTCCCCCAATGTGCCCCATTTCCTCCGGTCCTCAGCTTGTCGCATGCATTTCCCGCCAGCAACTACCCCATTAATCATAGTTCCTTGATGACTGGAACTCCTCCAGACTTCAGAAGTTCTGTAGTAACTCCGTCTTCACCAGGGGCTTTTCCACTTTTAAGCTATTTTAGAACCAACACGATCTCGTCTTGGCTGATATCTGGTAGGTCATCGGTATTGTGGCGCATCAGGGCGGCTCTGGGATCGTGGTTGTCGTATAGGGTACGAAGAATATGTGCAGCGTATAACCGGTCTAGAAGTCGTCCGAGAATTTGGAAAAAATATATCAGTGTTAAAAAAAATAATTGAATAAAAAAAAACTGATTTTCAGTAATTGGCAAAAACATACTTGAACCCTAGACACATTTGATGTGTGTAGATAAAGTAGAATACGCTTACAAATACGAAAAAAAAACAGCTGGCATTTGCTCCGTACAGGTATGTTGAGAATACGCAAGTCGCCGAAATGATCGCAGAACTCAGTCAAGCATTTTACACTCTAACAAGAAAAGCTAACCTTCTGCCCAGCATCCCTCATGGCTTGATACAAATGAATCTTCCGCGTGGCATCGCGGACGAGTGCCGTCTCCCGTACAACCCGTGTAGCCCAACGACGAGCCTCCTGCGCAAGCGTCATTGCAACTGACTCCTGCTCCATCGTCACAGTGTCCACGGGATCGTTATCGCAAGGCTCGAACTCGTACTGTGCAATCAGAAAGACTTTTGTTATAAGCTCATCTTTATAATTACAATAATAATAAAATTGGTAAACAAAATTACACACTGAATTTAGTATCAAGCAAGCACGCCAATGAAATAAAAGAAGTATTTTTTTTAGGTTAGCAAGTGATGGGACGAACAAGTCTTGCGCCAGATCTCCGAGCTTTATAACACAAAAATCTGAGGGACAATTGCCACTGCGCCTGTCACCCTGAGAGTCATAAGTCTCATGTGCCTGTAATTACCTCCTTGCCCTTCAAAACCGGAATGCAGTAATAGGTAAGGTGGCAATACTTCCCAGGACGAACTCTTTCACAGGGAGCTCTAATGCTATAAAAGTATTTAACTTATATCGAACTACTGACATAACATACTTAGAAAAATTAGCACACTCATCATTCCAATCTTAAGATTGTCCTCCGCAGCGAATTAAAGAAAAGTAAGCATAAAATTATGAAGTATAAAATAAAACCCCAAAGCAATATTCATATGTAACTCTACAACAAAATACTTCTCAAAACCTTTTACTGTGCGTTGTGAGAAAACTTCAGAGAACTGAGTATTAAACGCATTGAAAGCGGCGTATTCAAAACAACACGAAGTTCCGATCATATTTATATATAGATATGACCCCGACCTTGCGAAATAGTTGTTTATTTAAACAACACTTAAGTTCGAATTTATCGAAAAGGTAAATCGGAACCCAAAACTTGTTAAGAGATTGTAGTTGTATGTTCTAAGTACTATGGTGGATAAACAGTGTTATCACTGAAAAAAGCTAAATGGTAAAATTTTGCTAAAAGTATAATAACTGTACCATCGAGTATATAACTAGAAATAGAGACGAAATTAGGGCCATCCATCCCTGGCAACTCATCAGGCAAATGGGCCTTATATCACTTTTAAATATCAACTCTCGTTTGCACTGAAATCACAAATTAGAAAGCTGAAATAGTACAGCGCCAACAACTGACCTGTGTGAATGTCTCCATATATTCCAAAAATATTCAGTATTTATTGTAATAAAGATAATGTCTCTCACAATGGGGGCTGTTCAATTCGGTGGTGTGGGAAAAACAGAAAACCATATAATTACAAAACAAACGGAATCGCATTTCATGGGTAATTTAATATTAAATATATAATATGCTATTTTTGTCCATTATAGCAAAGCTCAAATTAAACTGGTCAATTTGAAGTGAAACAATTGACGACACCCGTCAACTGTTTCGATTTCGGGCTGGCCAATCGGAGCGCAGTTGTCACTGTAATGATTTGGCAGAATAGTTTTCAAACAAATTAAATGACATTTCGTCTTTATTTCTAGTTATTCGATGAACTGTACCTATACTTTTAGCAGCCTAAAGTAACTGTAAAACCCATTGTACTGACCTGTATATGCTGTTTCAGCACGGGGTAGTAAAGGTAAACACACTGCAGGTTGTATTCCCTGGTGAGCTGCTGAGCCTGATCGCGGATCTTGCCGAACGAATGCTGTGTCGCCGAGCAGGTCAGCAGCTCGGTGCGGCCCATCAGCGTCAGGAACTCCGATACCTTCTCGTATACCGCCGCTTCCATGGTCTGCATGCATGATTGAAGCTCCACTAGGAAATAGCGGTTCTGTAGGGAAAAAACAGTATTTAGGACAAATAAATTAACCTATTTTAATTTTACATTGTCTTTCTCAGGTTAGTGTTTACGGCCTAATTTTTTAATTTTTATTATTTCTGCCGCAATTTATATTATATATTTAAGTACTCGCATAATATTATTAAATAGTCGAGTATATGGTGTTCTGAAATATTAAATAATATTTATATAATACCTATACTCGAATATTTAAATAGTAATTCATAAAGTTGCCACGGAAATAAGGCTGAGGACACCTAACCCATCCCACCCGACTATACCTGGCTTATTATTCCGTAGGGAGGCCAAGAAATTACAGGCACATGGAACCTATCAACTTATGTCTCAGGGTAACGATCGAAGTGGCAGTCCTCCTCTGATATTTGCTTTGAGTGGCATTGCAATCCACTCGCAATTGGAGTGTCATACTTAATTTCGACAAACACTGTTTCTACTCGACAGTACTTCCACTACACATTCATTACTTTGACAAAACACATGTTCGACAGGTGACAGAGTGAAGTGGTCCCCTGAGTAGTCAGTCTCTCAAAATAGCAAATATTTATATTACATATTTCATATTCTGTTGAAAAAGCGACCTGTCCAATATATGTGTTGTCGAAGTAGTTTTCTGCCGGCGTAATGACCTATCGAATGTTTGTGTTGTCGAAACAGTGATCTTTCGAACTAGTGACCTGTCGAAC